AGGTCAAGAGATCAAGACCATCCTGGTCAACATGGTGAAACCCCGTCTCTACTAAAACTACAAAAAATTAGCTGGGCATGGTGGCGCGTGCCTGTAGTCCCAGCTACTCAGGAGGCTGAGGCAGGAGAATTGCCTGAACCCAGGAGGCGGAGGTTGCAGTGAGCCGAGATCGTGCCATTGCACTCCAGCCTGGGTAACAAGAGCGAAACTCCGTCTCAAAAAAAAAAAAAAAACCAATTTGTCAAAGAAAGTACAAAACTAGCTGACTCAAGGCAGAGTGAGGGGCAATGAAGTTTTCCTATTTTTGGATGGGACACTGGTGGTTCTCCTTACATGTTAACAGATCAATTAAACTATTTTCAGTGACCTCATAAGACTCGAAGCCTGAAGCTTTAGGAAATATGGAGCCTGGATGCAGTGGCTCATGTCTATAATCCCAGCCCTTTGGGAGGCTGAGGTGGGCAGATCATTTGAGCTCAGGAGTTTGAGACCAGCCTGGACAACATGGTCAGGCCCCATCTCTATAAAAAATACAAAAATTAGGGCCAGGCCAGGCGTGGTGGCTCACACCTGCAATTCCAGCACTTTGGGAGGCTAAGGCAAGTGGATCATGAGGTCAGGAGTTCAAGACCAGCCTGGCCAAGATGGTGAAACCGTGTCTCTACTAAAAACTACAAAAATCAGCCAGGCATGGTGGCAGGCACCTTTAATCCCACTTACTCGGGAGGCTAAGGCAGGAGAATCGCTTGAATCTGGGTGGCAGAGGTTGCAGTGAGCCAAGATCATGCCACTGCACACCAGCCTGGATGACAAAATGAGACTCTGTCTCAAAAAAAAAAAAATTAGGGCCAGGTGCAGTGGCTCATGTCTGTAATCCCAGCACTTTGGGAGGCCGAGGCTGGTGGATCACATGAGATAAGGAGTAGAGAGCAGCCTGGCCAACATGTTGAAACCCGTCTCTACTAAAAATACAAAAATTAGCTGGGTGTGGTGGTCGCGTGCCTGTAGTCCCAGCTACTCGGGAGGCTGAGGCACAAGAATGCTTGAATCCAGGAGGCGGAGGTTGCAGTGAGCCGAGTGAGATTGTGCCACTGCACTCCAGCCTGGAGCCTGGCGACAGAGTGAGACTCTGTCTCAAAAAAAAAAAAAAACCCAAACCTTGGGGACATGGCCTAGTCTAAGGCTGAACATTCAACTGCCTAAGATTTCATGACATTGATTATTGGTAAATGGTATGATCCCAAATGAAAGTTACAGGCAACCAACTAAAATTTTAGGAGAGCTGAAACTCAGGAAACCAAACCTGGAAAATTGGGGAGAGAGATCCAAGATGGCTGATCACTAGCAACTCGGGATTGTAGCTCCCAGTGAAAGCGCAGAGAACGAGAGGACACCACACCTTCAGACAAATTTTTGTTGCTCACAGACCAGGAGATTCCCAGTGGAGGAGCCCCACGGGTCGCCAGTGCGACTCTTGCGGCTGGCGTGGCGGTTTTGCCGGCACCTTGGCACAGCGGTTCTTGGTGCAGAGTAAACGGGACTGGGTCCCCTTTTGGTCGACGTTTGGAGCTCCGGGAAGGCAGAGTCGCCTATTCAGCGGATTGAAGGACGGACTCAAGAAGGAAGCCAGACCGGAGATTCCCAGGCAGAAAAGCGCCATCAATCTTAACGCTGCTGTTTTAGCCGGCACCGTGGGTTGCTCAGATTCCGGCGCTGGGAATCAACAAGTTGGACGTCCACTCAGAGACCTAATTAGAAAGTTGGTAATTACAAAGACGACAGATGGATACATTTATAATGAAGGGAAGAAACCAGCCTAAAAAGGCTGAGAATACCCCAAACCAGAAGGCCTCTCCCTCTACAGGGGATCACAGTTCCTCATCAACAAGGGAACAAGGCCTGATGGAAAACGAGTGTGTTCCATTAACAGAAGCAGGCTTCAGAAAGCGGATAATAAGAAACTTCTGTGAGTTAAAAGAACTTGTTCTAACCCAATGCAAAGAAACTAAGAACTTTGAAAAAAGGTTTGACGAAATGCTAACGAGAATAGACAATTTAGAGAGGAATATAAGTGAATTAATGGAGCTAAAAAACAACACGAGAACTTCGCGAAGTATGCACAAGTTTTAACAGTCGAATTGATCAAGCAGAAGAAAGGATATCAGAGGTCGAAGACCAACTTAATGAAATAAAACGAGAAGACAAGATTAGAGAAAAAAAGATAAAAAGGAACGAGCAAAGTCTCCAAGAAATATGGGACTATGTGAAAAGACCTAATCTACGCTTGATAGGTGTACCTGAATGTGACGAAGAAAATCAATCCAAGTTGGAAAATACGCTTCAGGATATTATTCAGGAAAACTTTCCCAACCTAGCAAGGCAGGACAATATTCAACTCCAGGAAATACAAAGAACACCACAAAGATATTCCTCAAGAAGACCGACCCCAAGGCACATAATCGCCAGATTCACCAGTGTTGAAATGAAAGAGAAAATACTGAGGGCCGCCAGAGAGAAAGGTCAGGTTACCCATAAAGGGAAGCCTATCAGATTCACAGCAGATCTCTCAGCACAAACCCTACAAGCCAGAAGAGAGTGGGGGCCAATATTCGACATCCTTAAAGAAAAGAACTTTCAACCCAGAATTTCATATCCAGCCAAACGAAGCTTCACAAGCGAAGGAAAAATAAAATATTTTGTGAACAAGCAAGCACTCAGAGAGTTCATCACCACCAGGCCTGCTTTACAAGAGCTTCTGAAAGAACCACTACACATAGAAAGGAACAACCAGTATCAGCCTTTCCAAAAATATACCAAAAAGTAAAGAGCATCAACATAATGAAGAATTTACATCAACTAATGGGCAAAACAGCCAGCTAGCATCAAATGGCAGTATTAAACTCACATATATTATTATTAATCCTAAATTTAAATAGACTAAATCCCCCAATCAAAAGACACAGACAGGCAAATTGGATAAAAAGCCAAGACCCATCTCACATGCAAGGACACACAAAGACTCAAAGCAAAGGGATGGAGGAAGATTTACCAACCAAATGGAGAGCAAAAATAAATAACTAAATAAAAAGCAGGAGTTGCAATTCTCATCTCTGATAAAATAGACTTTAAAGCAACAAAGATCAAAAGAGGCAAAGAAGGACATTACATAATGGTAAAAGGATCAATGCAACAAGAAGAGCTAACGATCCTAAATATATACGCACCCAATACAGGAGCACCCAGATACGTAAGGCAAGTTCTTAATGACTTATAAGGAGACTTAGACTTCCACACAATAATAGTGGGAGACTTTAACATCACATTGTCAATATTAGACAGATCAACGAGACAGAAAATTAACAAGGATATCCAGCACTTGAACTCAGACCCGGAACAAGTAAACTTAATAAACATTTACAGAACTCTCCACCCCAAATCCACAAAACATACATTCTTCTCAGTAGCACATCACACCTACTCTAAAAGTGACTCACTCCTCAGTAATTGCAAAGCATTTCACAGGCTTAAATGAAATATTGGTTGGCTGCTTGTTCGTTATTTTCCTCCCTTATTCCTTCCTGTCTCCATTGTTAAGCACAATTATTGGCATAAAAGAGGTTTTCAATACCCATTTTTTTTTTTTTTTTTGGGACGGAGTTTCGCTCTTGTTACCCAGGCTGGAGTGCAATGGCATGATCTCGGCTCACCGCAACCTCCGCCTCCCGGGTTCAGGCAATTCTCCTGCCTCAGCCTCCTGAGTAGCTGGGATTACAGGCATGCGCCACCATGCCCAGCTAATTTTTTGTAGTTTTAGTAGAGACAGTGTTTCACCATGTTGACCAGGATGGTCTCGATCTCTTGACCTCGTGATCCACCCGCCTCGGCCTCCCAAAGTGCTGGGATTACAGGCTTGAGCCACCAGGCCCGGCCTTCAATACCCATTTTTAGACTGCATTCTAGCCTGGGCAATAAAGCAACATTCCTGTTCTCTCTCCCTCTTTCTCTTCCTCTTTCTTCCTCTCTTTCATTCTTTTTTTTTTTTTTCTTTTTTTCTTTCTTTCTCTTTCTTTTTCTTTTTTTCTCTAAAAAAAAAGAAAAAGAAAAAGAAAGTTACAGGCAACCAACTAACATTTTAGGAGAGCTGAAACTCAGAAAACCAAGCCTGGAAAATTGGGGTTTGTGATATCTCATCCCCCTGGGGAATTCCTAAGCCAAAGTACCAGCACCAACAAGAATCAGGTCGCTAAGGCAACTGCATTACCTCCTAAAAGCCTCCTTCTCAAGAAACTCTCAAGGGTGGGCCTGAGGGACTCTAGACTAGAAAGGATCTAGAGATTCCTTCTCTATGGGCAGAGAACCTGGAGTAGCCACATTTGTCAACAAAGGGGCCAAGGAAGGTAACCACAGAGCAAACCCCATGTGATAACCTTGTTTCTAATGTTCAATTTACCGGACCAGTCTGGAATGCCACAGCCTGTGCTTTGTAAATTGCAACCACATTTTCGCTCTATAGATCAAGTATGGTAGGAGAGGTTAAATCGATCTGTTCCTCTGTTGAAGGGGTCCTGGAGAGCCACCAGAGAGGAGATTTAGCAGAAGCAGAGGGCAGCTGGGCATGATGGCACATGGCTGCAGTCCCAGCTGCGTGGGAGGCTGAGGTGGGAGGATCGCTTGAGCCCAGGAGTTCGAGGCTGTAGTGTACTATCCTTGCACCTGTGAATAGCCACTACATCCAACCTGGCAACACAGCTGAGACCTTGTCTCTTTAAAAAAAAGAAAGAAGGCAAGGCCAGTTGCGGTGGCTCACTCCTGCAATCCCAGCACTTTGGGAGGCCGAGGTGGGTGAGTCGGGAATTCGAGACCAGCCCGACCAACATGGAGAAACCCCCGTCTCTACTAAAAATACAAAATTAGCCGGGTGTGGTGGCGCATGCCTGTAATCCCAGCTACTTGGGAGGCTGAGGCAGGACAATTGCTTGAACCCGGGAGGCGGAGACTGTGTTGAGCCGAGATCATGCCATTGCACTCCAACCTGGGCAACAAGAGTGAAACTCCTTCTCAAAAATAAATAAATAAATAAGAATTTAAAAAGAAAGAAAGAAAAAGGAAGGAAGGAAAAGGGACGGAAGGAAGGAAACAAGGAAGGAAGTGGGAAGGATGGATATCAGATGGAGAGGACAACTCTGAGAATAGAACGCTGGATGCCACCATTTGACATGGTGTTTGACATGGTGACGTGGCCTGGATCACCTCGTTTGACAGGGCAGAGGTATTTGAGGTTGACTTTGAGGTGTGGCGGGTCCAGGCAAAGCAAGGACAACTGGAATGGGGATATCTGGGAAAAGCCAAAGGAGTTGGGCACGGGCCTGTGTGCCAGGAGGACCAGAACGGAATTCACTAGCCTTTAGGCCATTAGGCTGACCTGCCCCTGCCTTTTTTTTCTTTTCTGAGTTGGAGTCTCACTCTGTCACCCAGGCTGGAGTGCACTGGTGCGATCTGAGCTCACTGCAACCTCTGCCTACTGGCTTCAAGCGATTTTCCTGCCTCAACCTCCTGAGTAGCTGGGATTACAGGCATCTGCCACCACACCCAGCTAATTATTTGTATTATTAGTAGAGACAGGGTTTCACTATGTCATCCAAGCTGGCCTTGACATCCTGGCCTCAAGTGATCCACCTGCCTTGGCCCCCCAAAGTGCTGCGATTACAGGTGTGAGCCACAGTGCCCGGCCGGCCCGATCCCCTTTTGGTAAGCCTTTCTCATGTAGCCATGAGGGGAGGTGCTTAGCGTTCACACTTGACCACCAGCCGGCTGAATGGACTGGAAGGGAGGCCTAGATCAAGTCCTTGATCAAGGCTAATCAAGTCCTTCCCAGGAAGGTGGGCTGGGACCACACATAGTTCTCCTTGGGTTAAGGGATCCAGGATGTATCCGCTTGGCAGGTGTGGTGCAGACGGCCAGATGGGGACAGGTGAGCGGCACTGGGAAGTGTCCCTGGGCTGTCTGTAGCGCTGGGTCTGATAGGAGCACCCTGCACCTCTGCCGTAAAGTCAGTCCCCTCTCCTGCTGGAGCGAACAGGAGCTGGTTTCTGAGTTTAGGCTGTCCTGGGGTGCAGGGTGAGGGTATGGCTTGAGAACAAATGGATGACCAATCATCTGAGTGGAGCCAACCCAGCCAGCCTCCCAGGGTAACCTCCCATCACTTCCCGCTTTCCGCCCTCCCTGCTGGGCTAGGAGCCGGGACTTGTAGCTCCAGAACATCCCAGGCTTGTTGTCCAACTCTGGGCCTTTGCACATGCTCTTCCTTTTACCTGGAATGCCCATGCTTCCCCACAATTCCTTCTGCGCTCTTCTGCACATATGTGCGCGCGCACACACACACACACACACACACTTCCTTTGCTAACTACTTGGTAGATTTCAGGCCCAGCACAGATGTTACCCACCTGGCCCCCTTGCCCGGAGAGACCCTTCATCACACTCCAGGCTGTATGAGCACTCTGTCTACTCCACGTGATCGCCTATTTGCTGGGCTGCTCCTGGGAGCAGGGACTCTGTGTGGCTCTGGACGGGCTCCTGGGCTGCCAGCCCTGTGTCTGCCTCCCAGAGGGTGTCACCAGTGAGTCTGTAGAAGTGCTGAATGAACGAATACATGAGTGATATGGTCATGAATGGACAAAGTGAAGCTCTGCCCAGGGGCAGGGGGCTGTAGCCAAGGAAGAGAAAGGACAAATGTGGGCTGGGCGCAGTGGCTCACACCTGTAATCCCTGCACTTTGGGAGGCTGAGGCGGGCAGATCATGAGGTCAGGAGTTTGAGACCAGTCTGGCCAACATGGTGAAACCCTGTCTCTACTAAAAATACAAAAAGTAGCCAGGCATGGCGGTGTGTGCCTGTAATCCCAGCTACTCAGGAGGCTGAGGGAGGAGAATAGCTTGAACCCAGGAGGTGGAGGTTGCAGTGAGCTGAGATTGTACCACTGCACTCCAGCTCGGGCGACAGAGTGAGACTTTGTCTCAAAAAAAAAAAAAAAAAAAAAGTAAGAAAAGAAAGGACAAATATCCCCATCCTAGCCAGTGCAGAAACAGCCCCTTCACATCCTCAGGGTGTCCTCCGGACACTGAAGGACCCTGCAGTCCACGCTGCGAGGGCTGATGGCCTCCTGGGAGCAGGGAGGCTGGACTTACCTGTCAGATGGTCCCTCTGCCTCTGGTATCACCAGAGAGATGTGGGTCCAGCCTGGATCAGTCCGTTCCTACAGCCAGTCTCTAGCCTAGGGAAAATGCCGTTTCCAGAGTGAGGACCGCGCTGAGGCCTCCTCTGCTCCCCGTGGGCCAGCCCCAGCATCCCCAGCATCCTCAGCTACTCTGAGCTGGAGACTGCAGAGTCCAAAGCACACTCCTCTCCCAGATCCCGGGCCTCCTTCCCAGGCAGGCCTCCCTGCCGCCCTCACTCCCCCCTTGCCCTGTGAAAGAGCAATGGCGCGAAATTCGTTGGGGAGAAAAACAGGAAGTGGAGCGTGAGGCTGCAGAAGCACTCCCCAGATGAGTGTGGCCGTCCCTCCACTGCAGCCTTACGGGAACGCAGTCGGGGCCGCCCCTGTGGGGCCTGACTGTGGGGGCAGGGGCCGGAGGGTGCTTGCGGAGTCAGGCGAGGATTCTGCTTCGAGGGGCTTTGTTTTTAGACCCAACATCACACCTGCATTCGGCATCTGACATCTGAGCTAACCTTCTCCCAGCAGCTCCCCAAGGTTGAGAACATCACCCCATTTTACAGACAGGCAAGTGGACTCAGAGAAGTGAAGTGACTTGGCCAAGGTCACACAGCCTTTCCCACGGTGGGGTCATGGCTCCTCGAGTCTTTCTCAGGCTTTGATTTCCATTCATGGTGTGTTTTTGTTCTGGGCCTCTGAGCGCGGTGGGTGGGGGTGGGGTGGGGGGCAGGGGGCACCGGTTCTGGCTTCTCAGCACATCCTCATTCTCCACTGGTGGTAAGAAAGGGGAGAGGGATTCCTGGAATGTGTGAGCTGGGAGGACAGATGCCCCGGTCTCTTTCTTGGAGAAGAGAAGGTGCCTTCCCTGGGGGGAAAGCACCCCACTGACAGTCACAGAGGGAGGGCATCGACCCCCAACACAGACTCAGGAAGATGTGGCCGTGAGGCCCCAGGACTGAGAGCTTCAAAAGAGTTCAGAATCAATTTCCACCCAGGACTGCAACTCACAGCAGCCCCGGTCCTTAGAGGCGTCAGTGGCCCAAGACCCCCAGGGGAAGAGGTGACCTCAGGTGGCCTCACTGCGGTGACAGTGGGGAGAGAACCCAGCTGAAAATACTTCCCACCTAGGCCCACCCCTCACTTGGGTCATGAAGCCCCCTCAACGTGCCTGCTCCACCCCAGGACAGACTACAGCCAGCAAACCAGGGCTCTGGGGACGCTTCCATGGAGCTCCCACCGCCCAGGGTTTCCTTCCGAGGACCCTGGGAGACCCTAGTCCTCGGGGATCCCCCTTCCTGCCCCGCATCTCCCTGGCCTTGATCGCAGCTCATCTCTCCTCACCGGCCCCTCCTCCACCTGCCTCTGGGCATCCCCCCGACATTCCACGGAGCCCTCAAACTCAACACACCTCCAACCACGCTCACTGGGGCCGCCAACTCTGGGCCACCTCCGTGTGAGGAAGGCAAGGAAGGCACTCGGCCTGGCACTGAGGCTGAGACCTCAGAGCAGAGCTGTGGCCTCCACTCACTCCCGACTGGCCCATCCTCCCTCCACCGCAGGGGCACTTTCCCAGAAGGCTCTGGGGCTGCTTAGACCACCGCGGAGGCCAGTGCTCACCTTTTAGAATTGTTGTTGGAATTAGATAATTCACATATGGAAAAAGCTTATAACCGTCCTGACACAGAGTGAACCCCCAGAAAAAGGTGTTTTTTTTTTTTTTTTGGAGATGGAGTCCCGCTCTGTGGCTCACTGGCGAGATCTTGGCTCACTGCAACCACCGCCTTCCGCGTTCAAGTGATTCTCCTGCCTCATCCTCCTAAGTAGCTGGGATCATAGGCGCACACCACCAACACCCAGCTAACTTTTGTATTTTTTTTAGAGACGGGGTTTCAGTTTTGAGACAGTTTTGGTCTTGATTTTTTGACCTCGTGATCCACCCGTCTCGGCCTCCCAAAGTGCTGGGATTACAGGCTTGAGCCACCGCACCCGGCCAACTTTTGTATTTTTTAGTAGAGATGGGGTTTCACCACGTTGGCCAGGCTGGTCTCAAACTGGTGACCTCAGGTGATCCACCGGCCTCAGCCTCCCAAAGTGCTGGGATTACAGGCGCAAACCACCACACCCAGTGTTTTTTTCTTTGTGTTTTTTTGTTTGTTTGTTTTTTTTGTTGGTTGGTCTTGAGACGGAGTCTTGCTGTGTTGCCCAGGCTGGAGTGCAGTGGCCTGATCTCGGCTCTCTGCAGCCTCAATCCCCTGGCTGCAGCGGGCGGTGCTTCTGCCTCCGTGGTTCCTCCGCTGTTCTCAGACTGACAGTGGGACTCTGCCACCCGAGGCCTCTGCTCCCTGTCACCGTGGGCTGCAGGGCTGCGAAATTAGAAACAAAAGGCCTTGCCCGGTGCAGTGGCTCATGCCTGTAATCCCAGCACTTGGGAGGCTGAGGCAGGAGAATCACTTGAACCTGGGAGGCAGAGGTTGCAATGAGCCACTGCACTTCAGCCTGGGTGACAGTGATAGGCTCCATCTCAAAAAGAAAAGAAAAGGAAAAAAGAAAAGAAACAAGAAACAAGAAGCCCCCAGCCTTCAGCATCGATGGCCCCCTCCTCTCTCTACTGCCTTTGGGCAGCAGTCACCCCTCAGCATCAACAGCACCCGGGGCCAGCAGGGAGGGTGACCACGATAAGGGAGGCCTGGCTGCCTTCCCTTTGTGCAGGAGACTCAGCCCCTGGTCCCCAGCCACCCCCACATCACAGGGAACTAGAATAATGAGTTTATACCTGGAAAGTGCCCAGAACCATGCCTGACCTGGATGAGAACTCAGTACACATGTTATGGTCACCACCACCACCTTCATCTAATTTCATCCTTACAACCGCCCTGTGAGATCAGTGTCATGCTCCCACTGCAGAAGCGAGAGGGCTGAGGCCGAGAGAGGTGAGGCCGCGCGCCTTCGTGCAGGCAGCTGCACAGGGATTCGAACCCGAGCCTGTTGGAAGCTCGTGCTCTCAGCCTCGTGCACGGTTTTCCTTCCATTCCAGCGGGTGCGGGGCCAGCTGTGGAGGTGCACACCTCTGTGCTGCAGCCACCCCTGCAGGGGGCAAGGAGGCCGCGGCGGAGTCCGGGGGCCCGGAGCCTTAGGCCGCCCAGCCGCGCTTCTCCCCGGGGCATCTGCTCCGGGACCTCGCGGCCTCGGACTTGGGCGCCAGGGAAGCGTGCGGCGCCACCTGGTGGCGATGGGGAGCCAAGGCCACCGCCGCCCGCAATGCTCAGCCCCGGGCTCAGCGGCGCCCCCTGCAGCCCGCTGGGCCGCGTTGCGTGGTGTCCGCCGTACTTTCGGGTCTGGGAACGCAGAATTCACTTTCCCTCCCGCCCGCTTCCTCCAGGGATGGGGAAATGAGTGTAAACCCTGGCGCTGCTGGGATCTTGGGGCAGGTACTGAATCAGCAAAGCTCATTTTGTTGAAACTGTGTTTTGTGTCCCCCTTAAACCTCCCATTCCTTTTTGTTTGTTTCTGTTGCCCAGGCTGGAGTGTAATGGCCCGATCCCGGCTCACTGCAACCTCTGCCTCCCAGTTTCAAGGGATTCTCGTGCCGCAGCCTCAGGAGTAGCTGGGATTACAGGCGTGCCCCACCACGCACGGCTAATTTTTGTATTTTTAGTGATCCACCTGCCTCGGCTTCCCAAAGTGCTGGGATTACAGGCGTGGGCCACCACGCCCCGCCCCCTTTCTTAATTCCTGCATGGCAAGGGGCAGGTTGTTCTAGAGACGCCTGCTGCAGCCTTGCGCTGATTCTGCCCTCCTCCCTGCACAGCTCTGCGATCCTGTGGCCTGGGCCCCCTCTCCAGCAGCCTCAGGGGCGTCCCCAACCAGCCACTGGCAGGCTCCCGCAAATGGAATCTGCCCCAACCCGGCTCCTGCCCACCCCATCTGCCCCTGGCTCACTCTTCCTTTCTGCTTGGTGAAAGCTGTCCCCCTGTCTCCTCTGAGGTCAAAGCAGAAACCCCAGACAGGGTTCACTTCTCTCTCTCTCTCTCACCTGCCGCCCCAGGCAGCTGTTGCCAAGTCTCGCTGGCTGGTTAAGACGGTCAAGGGGGACGGGCTACAGGTTTCATCCATTCATTCTGCACTTTACCAAATGCCACCAGTACAGCCTGAGGATACAGCAGTGACCAGGTCTCTGCCTTGAAGGACATTCTAGCGGGTGGGTGGGGCTCATGATACAGAAACAAACAAGTACATTTATAACACCTTGCTGGTGGTAAGTGCCATGGGGAAGAGTAAAGCGGGGTAGGGGCCTTGGTCACCAGTGCCAGGTCCCAGGTGGCCCCCTCACCCCACATGGGCTCCCACACCCCACAAATGGGCTTTCTCACTCCACGCTGACCCCCCCGCCCCCAGCCAGGACTCCCTCCTCTGCACTCATGCCCCTGATACCACCCAGCAGGTCGCCCTCCTGTGTGACTTCCACCCTCACCTGGTGGGGGGGGTGTTGTGGGGGGGGGTCTGATGCCACACCTGGCCACCTGGGGGGTAGGTGGGCGCTCCATGGCTTGCAGCTCCCCCAGTGCCTTTTGGACTGAATTGCTAAGGAAGGGCAGGAAAGGAATGAAAGGCAAAGAGGAGGCTGGGTGTGGTAGCTCACGCCTGTAATCCCAGCACTTTGGGAGGCCGAGGCAGGTGGATCACGAGGTCAGGAGTTCAAGACCAGGCTGGCCAACAGAGTGAAACCCCATTTCTACTGAAAATTAGCTGGGTGTGGTGGTGGGAACCTGTAATTCCAGCTACTTGGGAGGCAGAGGCAGGAGAATTGTGTAAACCTGGGAGGTGGAGGTTGCAGTGAGCCAAGATCTCGCATTGCACTCCAGCCTGGACGACAGTGAAAGACTCCAACTCAAAAAGAAAAGCAAACAGGGAGATCAGTCCCTTAACTTGATATTATTATATTTTTAAAAATCTGCGGGGCGAGGTGGCTCACTCCTGTAATCCCAGCACTTTGGGAGGCCAAGGCAGAGGGATCACCTGAGGTCGGGAGTTTGAGACCAGCCTGGCCAACATGGTGAAACCCCCATCTCTATTAAAAATACAAAAATTAGCCAGGCGTGGGGGCACACACCTGTAATCCCAGCTTCTTGGGAGGCGGAGGCAGGAGAATCGCTTCAACCTGAGAGGCGGAGGTTGCAGTGAGCTGAAGTCGAACCACTGTACTCCAGCCTGGGTGACAGAGGGAGACTCCATCTCAAAAGAAAAGAAAAGAAAAATTTTGTGGCCTGGCACAGTGGCTCATGCCTCTAACCCCTGCCCTTTGGGAGGCTTAGGTGG